GGCTTCCGGCGCGTTTCCTCGCCCTCCCAGGACCTGGAGCCCCACCCGTCGGTCTCCGAACTTCCTCCTCTCGCTGCACTTTCCGCGCCAGTCTTCGGGCCCGAGGTTGGGGGGGTGGAGGAAAGAGGGTTCGAGGAAGAGAAACGGAGTTTCCGAAGCTACGTGGGGCGCTTGGGTGGAGCTGAGGGCTCGGGAGCCGGGGATGGGGGAGGGGGCAGTCCCAAGGTTCCCCCACTTTTGTAAGATGGGGGGGCCAGGCAGGCGTTGGTCCCTTTAAGATTCACCCTCCCCCTCCGCTCTACAACCCCCCCCCTTCATTCTTTCCCTCCCTCTCTTAGAGGCCAATTTTGTTAATTAAATGTTTTGTTTGCGACGCAGCTCTCATTCATTGCGGACACGTCATTCGGAGCAGATCTAAGCCAGAGACCAGATCTCATTAGATAAAGCCCATCAGAACTAAGAAAATGGAGGAGCCACTAATTAAAGCTTTTAATTGTGCGGATTCGCTGCAGCAAGGCAGCCGCTTTATCTGAAATCTTGGAGGGCGAGGAGGCAGAAGCCCAGCTCTGCCCATCGACACTTGGTCGCGGAGGGGGAGGGGACTGGTGAAAGCGCCCCCTCCTCTTGCAGCCCCCTCCTCCGCGCTCAGGCCGGCCTTTCCCAGCTCTCCCGCAGCTTTTCAGCAAGACCTTGGTTGTTTTCAAAAAATCACAACCTCAAAGTCAAGACAGTTTAAAAGCCCCTCAGTAAATCGCTATGTGGTCTCAGTCGGACCAAGGGGTCCCCTTCACCTGGCGGCGGGCGAGCAGATTACTCCACTCGTCTGCAGCGATCCCTGCGGCATTGAAAGCTCCTCCAACAAGTGGACTTGAGGGACACTGGGGAGCGGGTAGCTGAGAAGAACAGGAACGTCTGCATCTTCCCACCTTCCCACCCTCTGGGCATCTTGATGGGCTGAGAGGAACACTGAAGGAAGACTTCAGTAATCTCTTAAATTGGAGGGGAAGGGGGGCTCACAACTGCTGGTGAACCCTGAGCAAACTATGAGGCCATCAATTTGGTACTAAGCTAGAACTCATCTCTCCTAGAAAGATCTAAGGTCCTCGGGGTAGCATGTAGTTCAAGGGCGAGCCTGGCTCCAGTTTCCAGATTCAGAGGGGAAAAAAGGAAGAACGTAGATCCGATTAATTAAGGCTCAGGGCTGGGCACACATCCTCCATTGCTCCATTAGGGCACAGGAAAACACCAAAAGGCCATTTACATTTGGCCCCAAGAATAGAGAAAAGAATGGACACAATTCCCAGGAAGCCACTTGCCTGAACTTGTCCTGGGGGAATACAAGTGGACTCATCTTCTTTTTAATTAGTTGTAATCAGAAGCGAGGGGTTTTTTGGGTTTTGTTTTTGGTTTTTTTTTTTTTTTTGAAGGCACTTGGAGAAGAGATGAATCTGTACCATTCACGGAATCTTAACAGCACTGTCAATTTTTCCACTTCAAGCCACACTCCTTTCTTACCACAGTTTTGCTTTCTATTTAATTACAATACTGTCAAAGCTCATGGCATTACTTGGAAGGAGGACCAGAAAACATTACACCCATGTTCCCGCTGATTTTCCAACATTTACCTCTAAAAGAACACTTAGTGAAATTAATGCTGCCGTCTTAATTTAAAAATAAAAGCCCTCTTCCTTCCTATATTTCTTTTACTTGACTGATTGAGGATGCCAGCAGAGTGGACACAGGTTGCATTATCAAAATAACTAAATGTCATTTTACTCCATCATCTTACAACTAATGATATCACTGAGGTAAACGTATCCACACTCAGCTCTGAACTACACTGGCATCTTCTGCAATGTTAGGCGCAGAATAAGGCGAATCACAATGGAGCTAAACTTTGAACAAAATATCTCATCCACTGATTTACCCACACTGAAGAAAGAAGAAAATTTTCTACTAATCACTTCAAAGACAAAGGTTTAGGACAAATTTACAAAGGATGAAATTCTTCTTAAAAGTGTGCGGTTTTCTAGTATCAACTGTGTGCGTGTGGGTTTTTTTTTTTTTTTTTAATTACTGGATGTTGAAACAGAACACCTCCTAGAAGCATTCATGTGCATCAGTCTATCAAACCATTTACTCAAATTAAATGTGTAATCCTTCAAATGCCTCCTTTCAAATTAATGAGTTTAAGTAGCTTGAGTTCACCTGAAAAGATCCTATAGGCACCTGACCTCCTGAATTCTTTCCATTAATTGCACTGCAACTTGTTGGAAAAGACTGCTTACATGGACATATGAATGTTCCTATACATTGCTTTAAAATGCAAGATTAGTATAATTCTATAGCCTCTTTTTCTAAATCTCTTTTGGGGATCAAGGGCAGTGATACAAACGACAACAAAAAACCCAAAACCTGAACATACTTCAACTGAAAAAAACTGCAAATTCTACATCGCAAACCACACACTAACTGAATTATTGCAAGCCTCCGAGTAACAGTATGAAGAGAAACATTATCACTAGGTTTTATTTCTTGGGGCTTTTTTTCTCTATAAGAATAATTACAAGTCTTTAAACTGATGGATAACTAGCATTTTTCTCAAGGAGCACAAAGAATGAATCACAGCTTTCCACTCAAGAAAGTTTAAAAATGCTCATGTAAATATCGTAATAAGCCATCACTACAGACAAATCATTTCTCACTAACTACACTTGTATTTTTAAGTCAACCTTTGTCTCCGAGTTCCTCTGTGAGTTCCCACCTTGTTTTAAGAACGCACCTTAACTACCACTTGAGATGTTTGTTTTTAGCCTGTAGTCCAGTAGAGGCTGACCACTTAAACTCTGGGACCAGAGGGTGCTCAACCTTTGTGCATCTAATGACCCAGTCCCACCAGATGGTCTTTACTTAGTATGGCATTTGCCATTAATTTGCCATCAGATATTGGAAGACTTAACAACATGCTTCCTGAACCCTTTAAATTCCGCCAACTAAAAGATTTTTGAGGTGAAGGCTGCAATGTATTGCCATAGGTGCCTGCTCCTTTCCTCACAACCCTGTTAACCTTTGGCCTTGCCATTGCTCTGCTCGCCCATCCCCAGGAAAGGCAGCGAAGTCTTACCTAATGTAGTCATTTCTGCAAAGGATCATGCCGCTTTTGGTGTAACAGGACGTGCCAATGTCGCCCAGCTGCGCCTGGCAGCAGGAACACTTGAGGCACCGGCTGTGCCAGTAGCTGTCCATGGCATAGAGCAGAAAGCGGTCCGCAATCTTGCCCCCGCAGCCTGCGCACCGCTTCCAGGAGAGGGAGCCGGCCGTCACCGGGGGCGGCTGCGAGCTGCTGCCCGGATTCACCATGGTCTGCAGAGGGCGGGAAGGGGACAGGGAGAGAAAGACAAAACAGGGGCGATACAAAAGTTAGTAATCGCCGGAGAGAGAGAAAGCCCATTCCCCTCCTCCCCCCGGAGCTGCTGGAAGGAAACAGCAGGGCAAGGGCGGGAAGGAGGCTGAGAGGGAGAGGGAAGGAGGGAGGCTCGCCGGCAGCAGCCGCCTGTTTACTTTTCTCAAGCTTTGTTCTGGGGCCACGAGCTCCTCTCAACTTTCCTGCGCTTGCCGCCGCTGACAATTTCAGCTCCAGTACTGTCAAAACTCCGAGAGCAGGCTCCGCCGCGCGCTCCACCCCTCGCGGCGCCTCCTCCCAGCCCCCGCCTCCGCCCACTGCCCCCCTCCTCCGCCGCCCGCCTGCAGCAAATGAGGGTCAAACCCACCCACCGCCGTGCCCGGCCCCTCCCCAGCCCCCGCCGGGCCCCGGGACAGAGTCGAGGGGAGTGGGGAGGCGACGGCCCCGCCGGAGCCTCGTTCCCTCCCGGGCTCTGCCCTGGGAAGTGCAGCAGGAGTTCACAAGTTGGAAATAGTTCGGTTTTCCGAAAGGGAAGGAGGGAGGGACCGGCAGACGGAAGATGGAGAGCGTGGTGGTGGGAGGGAAGGCAAGGTGACGGCAGAGGGGGTGCAGTGTGTAAAGTTGCGAAACTGGTTTTTCGTATTTTAAGCAGCACCTTTCACATGCCATTGTGGTGACCGCCATCTCCCATTATTGTTCCAAATCTCATTTCATTTTGAAGATCAATGAGTGTTTTCTCTGGGTTTTCAGGACACAGGCAAGAATAATAGATCATTGAACTTTAGGATGCCTGTTAACTTCCTATACAAACACTCTCCACTTTGGTCTCACTAATCTGCCCTTGATCAGCAATTTAAATGCTAAAGCTTTGTTCCTCCAAAGGGGGGGGGGGGCGGCGTTACAGATAACGTGCGAGAAGGCAGCATTAAGGGATGCACAAGTTAAATTCGAGCCCGTTCTGCTGTCACCAAAAACTGCTTTAAAAAAGAATTCCCCACTCTAATGAATGCCACAAGAGATGCAACTGGGATATAATATAGGAATCAATTTATAAAGCTTAGCCTAAACCGATTAATTTGTTGCCTTCAATTCCGAGTCCAATAAAGTCCTAGTGTTCCTCTAGTCACTTATTCTATAAAAAGATCAAGTTATTTACTGCCAATTAAGCAGCCTGTTTTGTCTTTGTCCTCTGTAAGCTGAGAGTGTGGGCTCCCCCTGAGGCTCCCGGCTATCTGCTCAAGACATTCAGCTGATACCTCAGAAGAAGGCGAACTTTGCCTGTCCCCGGCCCAACTTGGCTGCTGCAAAAAAACGAGGAAGGAACGAACGAAACAGGGACTCGAGTTCCTTAAATAGGCCGATTTTAAACACATTTCCTCCGAAAGAGTCCCGGAACGTGTGTCCAGTGACCGCACAATAAACCAGAATAAGAACTGCACCAATTAAGCTGTAACAAAACCCTGAGACTTTGGAAACAGGACCACTCTAAAACCCATTAGCATTGCATTTATCCGAATGCATCATACCTTTATGTAAATTGATTTATCTGATGCATTTACTCGAGGAATTGCTTTTTGTTACAATTTCAGCCCTAACCCAAATGAATCTGCATTTCCTGCCCTAGGTCTTTAAACTGTTTCCCCCAACGTTTTAATCGCTCCAAATTCCTTTTTAAAAGGAGAGAGGGAGGAGATTCCAAGCTCTTCCCCGCCCCCATCTTTAGTGAGAGGTAAATATATATGTATTTTTTTTTTTTGAAAAGGAAACATTACACTGAGAAAAGCATCCAGTAACCCCATTAGCTAAAGCTCTTAAAGACAAGCAATACCTTAATGCTGATTAAATCTAAGAGATGAATCAAGAGGACTGACCAGAAACTGACTCCCCTGATAACTAAGGACGGGCCCTCATCAAGTTTCATTTAGAGTTGGAAAAAAAAAAAAAAGAAGAAGAAGAAAGCTTTTAAGTTAAATAGGCTTATACTCTAGTAATTACATAGCCAAGCAATTTAGGTCCTGGGATAGTCAGTGAAATAGAAAGCAGAACTGGCAGCTAGAGGCAAAATCTGCCCCCCTTTAACAACGTCTCTGGTGTTTTTTAATGGAGACCAAGGGAGGGACAAACGTAACGCTGGCAATTTGTAGTACAAAAATGGATGCTTAATTCATGTCTTGATTTTAATTAGGTGATTCACCGTATTTCTCCTGGATTGTAACAAAAGACTTATAAACCAAGAGGTTTTAAAAAGAACCAGCAATACCGAATCCTGCTCACTTAGACCCTTCCTGCCACTGTTTCAAAATTAGTGTTTACTAGAAGGGGGGGGTATCGTGACTATCCCCACCCCCACCCCCCCAAACACACTACTTCTCATACTTAAAACCTAATCTAAGCACCCCTTGCCCTTTCCCTCATGAACTAGAAATATCCCCCACCCCCTCTACGGTCCCCACCAGCCCCGTTTCCAAGAAGAGCCCTTTTGTAAGCAGGAACCGCTACAAAGCTGGCGGCCCGGGGCTGCCCTCCGCGCTAGCTCGCAGGCCGGCCTCGGTAGTTTCAGACTCGCGCTTTATCTAAGGCGACGTATTGTTTACTTGCAATTTGGGACGGTAAGGGGAAGGAAGCCAAAGAAAACAGCCCTGGCCCGAATCGGCCCCCTCCCTCTCTCTCCCACCTCCCGGCCCGCGGCTCCCCCAGCCGCCCCCTTACCTGCTTTTCCCCTATATTGCAATATTGCAAGAGGCGGCGGCGGTGAAATGCGAACGAAGCCGCTCGGCTTCCAGGGAAGGGGCGCCTGGGCTGGCGAAGCTGGAGGGAGGGAGGGAGTTCTCGCAGAAGCAGGAAAGGGGAGGAGGGGGCTAAGGGCGGCTTTTTTTTTTAAATCGCGTTGCTCTGGGGCGGGTTGGGGGGCCCCCGCGTAAGTGGCAGGCGGCCGGGAGCAGAAGTGTCAGTCTCAGTCTTCGTCCTTCTCCTCCGCCTCCGGCTGCGCGCGAGCAGCTGCAGGAGCCCTCGGCCCGCGCGACGCGGCTTCAG